AATATCAGTGATGGAAAAATGAAAAAATATAACTATATCTTCAAGTAGCTTTTTGTAAATAGGATTTTTTTTAAATGGAAAATAAAATTTTAAAACAATTGCATAAATTAGTTTCTCAAAAAAATTGCATAAGATTTATAAAAAAAAAATTAGTTTAAGGTCCCTCTTCCATTTTTAGTAATGGAAGAGATTTACAATACTATTTTGTGATGTCTAAGATCCCTCAACCCCACACCCATATATCATAGAGAAATTTGACTCTTCCAAATCAAATCTCATTTCTCTCTCTCTCTCTCTCTCTCTCTCTACTAACTTCTTCATTCTCAGATGGGAGACGACAAGTGCAAACGAGGCCAAAAGCCCAAAAATCGACTCCTCGAAACCCTAGATTTTCCAACTACCACCACCGCCGCCGCCGCTATATAACATCTATTTGTTGATGCTGCCTCTGTATCCTCTTTGATTCTGCCAAGAAATCTATGTACGACAATGACCTAGGCTTGTTCTCTAAAGTCAATTTGGTCACTTCCAAGAATCAGAGTCTTCATTACCACCAATTCTATCAATTCCATCGCGAGCAACAAGATCAGCCACTGAGTCCTCTGCTTCCGCAACAACAGCAACATGAGTTTCTACTAAGAAAGCGACGAAGCTAGTTGTAGCAGAGACACTAATTTTTGGATTGTGAGTCCATACTGTTACAATCTATATGAGTATCCGCAGAGTTTTTGTGGATTGTTGTTTGAGGTGCCACTTAACTCCTTATTTTCCCAGTAGTCCACATTGATGGATGATGGATATGTAATTGAAGCCATTACTGCCAATAGAAAATCTCTCTTGTTGTTACTACATTTGTTAAACTTATTTATTTTGATGATTTATTTAATTATGTTTAATTTATTTAAAAGAGAAAAATAGAATTCAAAATTTATTTTGATGATTTATTTGACAGAGAAAAATAGAATCAAAATTTATTTTGTCCCATTATTTCTCACCTAGATCTTTATCATACATGTTGTTAGAATGCATTTAATATTTGATTAAATCAGGAATTCAAACAGCCCAAAACAAAGTTCAAACAGCCTAGCAAAGTAGCAGGCCAATAGGTTCAAAAGGTTTAAGTGGAAGATATTCAAATTAGTAATGATTGAAGTACAACAGTTATAAACAGCTATAAAAGTTCAAAAAATTCAAGTGGAAGATATTCAAATTTGTAATGATGGAGTGAAAGATATTCAAATTGGTAATGATAAAAGTACAACGGCTATAAATTTAAATGACTACAACGGCCATAAACGGCTATAAATTCAAATGAATACAACGGTTATAATTTTCATTATATATACCAAAGCCTCTAATGTAAACAAGTTACAAAAAAACCTGAAAATATTCTTTGCTCTATAATCACTCACATCTATTTTAAAAAATTATACACTGAGCCTTATAGCATTAAGCTCATATTTCCTGTATGAGATTTATAGAAAAATCAAAACTTCGTTTTATATCTATCTTTGAGAGATATTTATTGTAAGCTTTCTTTGAAAGAAAAAATACCATTTCATCTTGTAAAAGTGTTGCAAACATTGTTGAAATCTTGAGAGTAATTGTGAATCATCTAAGATTTGCAAGGGTTTAGACTTGTGAAGTCTATGTAAAATCTGTGGAGGATTACTCTATTTGTAAAGAGGTTAGCACCCCTGTGAAGCTAGAAGATAGTGAAAAATATCAAGTGAAGCTTAAGGAGTGGATGTAGGCCGAGTTGAAGCCGAACCACTATAAATTTGTTTGTCTCTCTCTTTCTTATCTCTTTATTTTATTTTAAATTACCATAGTTATATTTCACATTTTTACTGTGCTAAAATCATTAACTGACATAGTTGATAAGACACTTGTTTTAATTATTTTTATTTTATTAATTATATTTATTTATTGTGCTAGTCATAATTTTTATAAGGGTATTATTAATTTTAATTGTAAAAACCTAATTCACCTCCCTCTTAGGTTGTCTTTGGGTAACAATATTGAATAGGAGGAAAATAAGGGTGTAAATATGTCAAGCTTGTACTGCAAAAAATACCATTTCATCTTGTAAAAGTGTTGCAAACATTGTTGAAATCTTGAGAGTAATTGTGAATCATCTAAGATTTGCAAGGGTTTAGACTTGTGAAGTCTATGTAAAATCTGTGGAGGATTGCTCCATTTGTAAAGAGGTTAGCACCCCTGTGAAGCTAGAAGATAGTGAAAAATATCAAGTGAAGCTTAAGGAGTGGATGTAGGCCGAGTTGAAGCCGAACCACTATAAATTTGTTTGCCTCTCTCTTTCTTGTCTCTTTATTTTATTTTAAATTACCATAGTTATATTTCACATTTTTACTGTGTTAAAATCATTAACTGACATAGTTGATAAGACACTTGCTTTAATTATTTTTATTTCATTAATTATATTTATTTATTATGCTAGTCATAATTTTTATAAGGGTATTATTAATTTTAATTGTAAAAACCTAATTCACCCCCCTCTTAGGTTGTCTTTGGGTAATAATATTGAATAGGAGGAAAATAAGGGTGTAAATATGTCAAGCTTGTACTGCATTTTATATGGAAAAGATGTCAGATTTCTTTGCACTTTCTTTAATTGTGATCATTGTTTATGAATTTTCTCTAGTTGTAAACCCAGAGAAATTTTCCTTTCATTGAGTCTCTCTCTCTCTCTCTATATATATATGTATATTGGTTGTTGTTGTTGTTGTTGTTTATTTGAGTGATCAATTTGTGTATTGCATATCGTGATTGGGAAGATAGAGAAATTTGTGAACAAAGTCAGAGAAATTTTAATATTCTCTAAATTTCTATAGTTTGAATTCAGAGAAATTTCAATTTTCTCTGATTTGAATCCAGAGTAATTCTCTGCATGTAATGAGCCAAATTTCTCTTGTAATTCCCAAAGAAATTTTTTGAATTGAATTTTCTCTAGATTGATTTGAAAGACTTTAGACATTATGAAAATATTGAATATTCTTTATGTTATAAAATCTTAATATCAGGAATTCCAAAAATTAATTTTTTTGCAAGAGTATTTCTAGTATTAAAATAGTTTTTTCAAATTCAATTTTATGTCATTATTTTATTTATTTAATGTTTTTTATGTTTTTAATTTTTAATTTTATGATTTTTGCCTAATATTCCAAACTCTTCATCAAATTATATAACCAAATTTGGATTAACAAATTCGGCTATAAAATCATGCTTGGCGTCATTCATGCCCTCAAAAGTGGCGCTTGAGCCAGACAAATCTTTGCAAAAATCCCCAATTAATTCGTTGCATGGCACTTCCGTCGACTAACGCCGTTAACTGTGATTCCTTTCAATCTCTGAACCGCGTGATAGCTGGCTCTGCAGATCATCGGTTCTAGCACAGCAACCATTCTGGTACAGAGCTCTAAGACCCGACTAATTTTGTATGCGAATAAAATATAAACCATGTGATATATTTTAGTATTGTGGTTGATTTTAATAATAAAATTTATTATATTTATATTGAGTATTTAAAGAACAATAAGAATATATACATTTGTTATTCATGTTTGAGATAAGAAATTGGGATAATATGTAATGCTTAGAAATATAGAATATATTGTTGGTTCACTTTTACCACTTTTGATAGCATGTGATAACTTGAATTTAGGGTGACTGTTATACTTGGGCACAACAGTCAGTCACTGTTGTATAGCCATATGAGCCGATTTCGGGAGTTATTTTGATGATTCGAACTGTTTATATTTTAAATTATATCGAGTAGAACATATTTGTAAAAAATTAAATTAATCAGATATCATTAATCTTTTTATCCACTCACATTTATATCTACAAAAATAAATGACAATTGTGATTTAAAATATTAAAATGAATACAAATGTGATTGGATGAAATGATTAACAATATCCGATTAACTTGATTTTTTGTAAGTATGTTCAAATCTATATAATTTAAAATATGAATGATTCAAATTATCAAAATAGACTCCAAAATAAGTCAAAATCCTTATTTTTATTGTTTGATGAAATGATAAACATGTTATACCCAATAATAGTTATTAGTTTCGTTAAATGATAGGAAGGTGATATTGTAACTTGTTTTTTTTTTTTTTAGAAAGGCAAATTATCGCCAACAGGCTAAAAAGATTCAGACCGAATAACATTGAAAATCGCAGCAGGCACTTCATCCCTTCATACTCGGCTCCCAACCACCTGACCCGCCATACGAGCTAACCCATGAGCAGCCTTGTTACCACCTCGCAACAGAATAAAAGACATTTTTTTTGATATTGTAACTTGATTTAGAGGGTAAGAGATTGATCATTATAATTAAAAAATAAAAATAAAAATAAATTTTTAATGTAAATACAGTGTTGTTCAATTTAATTAAATTTAATTTATTTTTCTATAGAAGTAGATATATAAAAGGAATCATTATAAAAAAATAATATTAATAGAAAATAATTACAATATAATTGAAGCACAAAAATTCAAATATTAAATTGTGCAAATAAATTTGGGACAATTGTAAGAAAATGATATAAACTTAAAATAATTGCAAAGAAGTTGTATAATTTAATGCATGAATTATTTGTACTTCCATAATATTGCAATTATTTAGAATTGGTACATTTTTTTTTTTTGCAATTCCCCTAATAAATTTTGTACTTACATATTATAATTATTTTGAATTAATATTATTTTTCTGCAATTTCCGCTATAGAGCACAGGTTCAGAACTTTCATGCCGTTTCCTGTTTTTTCATAAATATATCAAATCTTTCATTATTATCTTTTTTTTGATAACAGCTTTTGGCTATTGACAAAAAATAAAAAATAAAAAATAGGGGGTTTGATTTTGGAGATAACAGCTTTTGGCTATTGACAAAAAATAAAAAATAAAAAATAGGGGGTTTGATTTTGGAGACAGTAGTTTCATGTGTCCCTTGTTGTGGGTCCATCCTTTCTGTAAATTGAGAAACTAATTAACAGCCTGGAGAGAGCTGTTTGGCGCTGCACTTAAAGAGCTTCAACTGAGAAGGGTCTCCAATGGTGGCATTGCTCTAATCTCAAACTGGGTTTCCTCTTTCTCCGCTTCACAACCATACCCATTTCGTTTCACTCCATATCACAACCATTTACCTTTCTCTTTCTGAGGTAAGGCTACCAAAAAACCTTTGATACAAAGCTTTTAATACATCAATCTATGGACCATATTTTAGCAGAATTTCCATTTTTACTGTCTTGGTGCTCTTGTATGTTGTCTGTCATAGAAGCTATTCGGGTTAGACATTGCTTTAGATAGCTATAGTGTTTTAGATACAAGGCTTTCTGGGCATGTGTTTTGGGGACTTGGGTTTGCAATTGAGGGCTTCTTTGTGGTAAGTTTTTGGTATTGTTGTTTTTAGAATTGGAGGAAGTGGGGGGCATTGGGCAATTATTGTTTTCTTTGTTTTTGAGGGTTTTGGTGGCCAAAAATGGTAAAGATGAAGCTAGTGAAATGGGTGCCTCTAGTTCTACATGTTTTGTTTGTTTTTATGTTTCTTGAATCCTCTGCCTTGTTCATCCCTGTTGATAGTTACTTGATTGTATGTGGATCTTCACAAAATGTTAGCTTCCTAGGTCAGACTTACATTCCTGATTCATTGCAGTCTTTATTAGCATTGAAAACTCTAGGCAATTCCATTGTTGCTACCTCCAATTCTAGTGTCCCTTCTTCTGTCTATCAATCTGCTAGAATTTTCTGGAGTACAGCGTCTTACAAATTCGATATCAAGCAACTAGGTAGGCACTGGGTCCGCCTCTATTTTTACCCTCTTCCGGACTCCCACCACAACTTAACTTTTGCCTCGATTACTGTAGTCACCGGAAATTTTGTGCTCTTGAACAACTTCACTTTCAAGAACCACAAGGGTTCTTATCTATTTAAGGAGTATGCGGTCAATGTAACTTCGGAAAACTTGGTCCTTACTTTCATCCCTTCCAACAATTCGGTTGTGTTTGTTAATGCCATTGAAGTTGTCTCTATCCCGGATGAGTTGCTCCCTGATCAGGCACCAGCTTTACCCCCCTTCGTCCCTTTTAGCGGCCTTTCAGACTATGTTTTTGAAACTGTTTACCGATTGAACATGGGTGGTCCATTGCTCACTGCGCAGAATGATACGTTGGGTAGAACTTGGGAGAATGACGCCAAATACCTCTACATGAACAACTCTGCTGTAAATGTTTCAGTTAGCCCAGCAAACATCAAATATAAAGCTCCTGTCACACCTGAAATCGCACCAAATTCTGTTTATGCCACAGCTGAAACCATGGGAGATGCCAATGTAAACAATATGAACTTCAACATAACTTGGGTCCTCCCTGTCGATCCAAATTCCACCTATTTTGTCAGAGTACATTTCTGCGATATTGTGGGCAAGTCCATGTACGATCTTTTGTTTAATCTATACATAAACTCTGATATTGCTCTTGGGAGTCTTGACCTATCAACTGACACAGGTGGCTTGAGTGTTCCTGTCTACAAAGATTTTGTTTCCAATCTTTCCTCCGATTCACACACTTTGACCGTTAGTGTTGGTCCAGATATAAAGGCTGACAACATAAATGCAACCATGAATGGTTTGGAGATCATGAAGATTAGTAATGAAGCTAGAAATTTGGGTATCTTCCTGGTTTCACCCTCAAAACATAACAAGATAGGCATCGTAGTCGGTTCCATTGCAGGAGCTTTAGCTGCAGTGGCATTTATTGGTTTCTGTTATTGCTGCTTGGTATCCCACAAGTCAAAGACTACTCATCAAGGGCGCACATGGCGCCCTTTGCCCTTATATGGAAACTCTCAAACCATGACAAAAATGTCTGCAACTTCTCAAAAGAGCGAAACGGCTAGCTGCATCTCATTAACTTCCTCCAATCTTGGCCGGTTCTTCACATTCCAAGAGATAATGGATGCAACTAACAAATTTGATGAGAGTTTGCTTCTTGGAGTTGGCGGTTTTGGTAGGGTCTACACAGGTACCATGGAAGACGGGACTAAAGTTGCTGTTAAGAGAGGAAACCCAAGATCTGAACAAGGTCTTGCGGAATTTCGAACTGAGATTGAAATGTTGTCCAAGCTCCGCCACCGTCACTTGGTCTCTCTTATTGGCTATTGTGACGACCGGTCAGAAATGATTCTGGTTTATGAGTACATGGCAAATGGGCCTCTCAGGAGCCATCTTTATGGAACAGATCTCCCTTCTCTCTCATGGAAGCAGCGGCTTGAGATTTGTATTGGGGCTGCTAGGGGTCTTCATTATCTACACACAGGGGCAGCTCAAAGTATTATTCACCGAGATGTGAAGACAACGAACATACTCTTGGATGAGAATTTGGTAGCCAAAGTTGCTGATTTTGGTCTATCTAAAGCAGGTCCAGCTCTGGATCAGACCCATGTAAGTACTGCTGTGAAGGGTAGTTTTGGGTACCTTGATCCTGAATACTTCAGAAGGCAACAACTTACTGAGAAATCAGATGTGTATTCATTTGGGGTGGTTCTAATGGAAGTTCTCTGCACAAGACCGGCTTTAAACCCCGTTCTCCCTAGAGATCAAGTTAATATTGCAGAATGGGCAATGAATTGGCAAAAGAAAGGGATGTTGGATCAAATCATAGATTCAAATCTAGTGGGAAAGGTAAATCCAGCTTCACTTAAGAAGTTTGGAGAGACAGCAGAGAAATGCCTGGCTGAGTACGGGGTGGACAGGCCATCAATGGGTGATGTTTTGTGGAATCTAGAGTACGCTCTACAGCTGGAGGAAACATCGTCAGCTCTCATGGAACCTGAAGATAACAGCACAAATCATATCCCAGGCATTCCATTGACTCCACTTGAGCCATTTGATTACAGTGTCAGTATGGTTGATGAGGTGATTTCTGGCACTGATGATGATGCAGAAGATCCTACCACAAGTGCTGTTTTCTCGCAGCTGGTAAATCCCCATGGAAGATGAGGAGTATATGTCATGTTTATGATCTTTGCCATTGGATGTCCTGCAAAAAGATTGGTCATCCTGGCCTCAAGACTGATTTGACATCTCCCAAGGGAAGGTTGTTCCTTTTTTTTTTTTGTCCCCTTCTTACTTCCTTTTAATCTGGGTTTATACCTTTTTATTTTCTTCTTTTGATGATAATATTATTGCCTATGTACTATAGTTGATTGGTGGGAGCCAATGAATCCATCAAAATACCACAGAATTTAATATTGTTTTGATCCCGATCAATGCAAGTGTTTGTTAACTTCCCACATTCCATGTTGACTTTACATAGTTCCAAATTTGGTTATGGTATGGATTTTATTACTTGTATAATTTTTTGTTCGGAAAATTATACAGAAACCAAGGTATAATTTATCATCTGTGGCTGGAGGTGCTTGCTGTAATGATATTTGTCATTTTTGGATGAAATCTGCTACAGTTGTGTTGTTTTACATTGGTTAAGAGTAATGAGCCATGCTTTCCCTCTGGAAAGCAGTATCAAGGAGCCTTTCCATTATGGAATTATCTGTGGCATTTACTGGGAAACAAATATCAGAAATGCCCTGAAAAATATCAAGAAACCTTCAGGATAATCCTGAACATGTCCCTTTTGTATTAGGGAATGTAGGAAAAGTGGGTTTTCCAAGGTTTCCAAAAATTATGGTATGATTTTTAGTAATGCCCTTTGTGTTAGAAAAATTGGTTTTGTCATCATGGTTTAGCATCTGAGCAGTTTCAATGTCATGTTCCCTCTCTTCTAATTTAGTCATCATGGTTTTGCATCTGAACAGTTTCTCTTCTTATTTAAGTACCATTAAAATTCTGGTTGTGGAAAACAAGATTCAAACTATTGAAATTGTTGATCAACGACATATTTGATTTAGAGGCGAAAAACTGCAAAAACTACTAGTACAAATTGAAAGTGCATTACTCTAGGGTAGAATAGAAAAGAGGACACATCATTCTCTAATCTCTACCAAGAAACTTCAAATTATACATCAAGAAACAGTTTCTCATATCCTCTGAGAATGAAGTTAGGTACTCATTTCCTGCAAACAATTCCATTCCCTCTGCCGGCTCCACCAGTGCAATCTAGTGTTCCATAATTCATAACTTGGGACTCGTCCTTGTTAACAACCCCAACGGGAGAGAACACACAAGAATCACAATCTGCGGATAGAAGTGATGTGGTTCTGTACTTGTTTTCTCCACCTACAACCGGCATTGCAACACCTGGCTTCGCTGGATTCTTAAAATCTGGCTGGTAAGTCCGGCCGAGCACACCTTCGACCTTTGAGGAGAGGCCATAGAATCTGAACTGTACCTCCAAGTGAGCAAAACAGTCCTCAGAAGGTATCTGGTAGTTATGGATTCTGTCATCTTCCTTGGTCACAGGCACCACACTGACTGAAATTTCTGCAACTTCTGGGAGAGTGACTATAACACTGTTCTTGCTAGACGTTCTCTCCACTCTCAGCTCATTTTCTGGGGATTTCCACACGGATGGGTAGCCCTCGGGTATAACTAGCTCCTTGCCACTGTAAGAGAATTTTAGATGGTCGACTTCATCGTCCCATGTTGCTGCGTTGGTGGCCTCAACAGAGAAACTTTGAGAGTCGAAAAGGATTCCTAGTGCTTGAATCCACGTGTAGTCCCTGGGTCGACCAGCTGGCCTCAATCCAATGAAGCGGGCATTGATTTGGAGATTGGGATCCGAAACCAAGCTGAAATGCTCATTGCTCTTGCCATGGAAGTAGAAGACAATGCCGTCTGCGCCAATGAACCGGGGGTCCAAGCATGCTGCTCCAGGGCTACCGCAATTTGGTTTGCGAGCTGAAAATATTAAAACACAAGGGTGTTAGTTTTTTGAAGCACAAAGCATAGAGTAAGTAAGGATGTTGTACTATGAAGGTGAATCAATTACAGAGAAGATAATTTACTTTTGCACTCGGCTCGGCATATGGGTGAATTGCAGTTGACATAGCAAACTTTAGCTTTTGCGTCGCTTGGATATGGCGTTGGGCACTCACTTGGGCATGGCAACTTCTTGAGAAAGCATGGGCTCTTGGGTTTGTTGCAGGTGGTGGTTTCTGCCTGGATTTGTATTGCACCAGAAATGAACAGAAGCAAGATGATCAATAAGCATTTGTTGCTTAAGATGATCTTCATGACTCTATTCTCAGAGGCAGATGAATCAGGTGGAGTAACAGCACACTTTCTGCTGGTTTTATAGACTAATGTCAATTGCTTTTTTTTTTCTTTCTTTCTTCCTTTCTGTGTATTGGTATTATTTATTGTGATCAATTCTCTCGAAATGAACCTTGAACTATCTAGGAACATGGGCCTTAGTTGGATCTCTTGAATGCTTTGCTTGAGTTTTGATCTTAGTCAATGCTTTGGGGGATGTAACCTTGTTTAAGAAAATGCCAGTTGGCATACTGTGTCTCTAGGCTTCCTTCTGTTCAGTTTATAAGTTACCTTAATTTTTTGCTTATTTTTGTGTTTAGTGAACTTTTATATTCAATTTTGAATTAATTTTTTTTTACTTTTAAGTCTGTCTCGGCTAAATGATCTTAAAAAAACAATTTAGTTCCAAAGGTTTTGCCATGGCAAATTTAATTTTTTTCTACTTTTCAATGAGCGTGGCTTGAGGGTCATTATTCTCTCTCCCAGGCCTCATGCTAGACCCATGTGAAGCTTGGGATAGAAAATTTGGTTTGTTTTGGACCGCAAGTTCAGCTCCACTACCACCTTTTGATTCTTGCTTACGTTTGCTGGCATTTATTGATTACCATTTATTAAATTCTTGTTCATAAAAATACTACTCAAATTAACGAGACACATCATCCAAAAAGAGAACACTTTTTTTTTTATTCTTATCAATGCTCTTGACAATTTCGCTCTTTATTTCTCATCGTCCTCATTTGACAAATCTAATTTAAAACATGGAAAATGTTTGGTAGCTCAAATTTTTGTGGCTCAAATGGCTCAAATCTGTCAAAACGACGTCGTTTTACACTCAAAATCTGTCAAAACTCAAATTAACGAGACACATCATCCAAAAAGAGAACACTTTTTTTTTTTTTATTCTTATCAATGCTCTTGACAATTTCGCTCTTTATTTCTCATCGTCCTCATTTGACAAATCTAATTTAAAACATTTGGCAATATCACTCTGCAACTTACCAATGCTATAGTTATGGTACGCAGTACACCAAAAAACAGTCTAGGACGAGTCATTTGTCCAATTTTCTTATGGTGTGTTTGGTTGGGAGATTTGGGGAGGGATTTGGAAAAGGAAAGGGAAAAGGTGTGTGAAATTATGTGAAATATAGGCATGATTTATTCACATTTCACCTACCTTTTCCATTTCCCTTTCCAAATCTCTCTCCAAATCCTCCAACCAAACACAGCATTAAGTTTTTTTTTTTTTGTAAATTAACCTATCACCCGTGCTATGCATGGAATAATTATAGATATTTATATTTATTTTAGATTTTTTTAATATATAAATTATGTTTTTAAAATTTTTTTATGAAAATAATTTAACAATCTTATCATTAACAATAGTGTTTGAGAGAAGTTGAAAAGGGTACTGAATTAACTATACACAAATTGTATCTATAATTATTTGTATGAGGGAATTTTAAATACTGATCAGGTGATTTTGACCAAATCAATAAATGCAGGCATGTGGAAAGACGGGTAATGCTAGGGATACCAAATTTTTACCAAATAAATGACCAAATGTCTTACATGGGTGTGGGGTCCGCAATTTTGTGGACCCCACACACATGTGAGACATTTGGTCATTTATTTGGTAGAAAATTTGGGACCTCTAGCATTTTCCGTGGATTTTGACCAAATCAATAAATGCTGATTAGGAGATTTTGACCAAATCAATAAATGCTGAGTTTTTTTTTTAATAAAAAATTTAGAAAATTCAGATTGAGATATTAAAACTCTCACAGTCCTTGGGGGTTAAAAACCCCCTTTTGCTTAATATATAGTATATATATTATCTATATATGTGAATTGCGATTTTTAAATGTCTTTTTTTTTTTTAAATGTCTTCTTTTTTTTCTTTTTTATATTATATTAAAGTTTAATATTTTGATAATAATCATAGGTGTTGGACTTTCTAAGGAATTATATGTCTTCTTTTTTTTATTATATTATATTACAATTTAATATTTTGATAATAATTATATGTGTTAAACTTTTCAAGAATTTTTTTTTATGCTTGTTTTTAATGCATTGAAGTGTTATTACGAGAGATAATAGTCATATGTGTTGGGACTTTTCAAGGAATTTATATGTGTTGGATTTCAAAGAATTTTTTTTTATGCTTGTTCTTAATGTATTAAAGTGTTGTTATGATGGTAAGACTTGGGGATTGGGAGAAGTTAGTAAATGTTAAGGTTTTTTTTTTTTTTAAATCAAAAAATCAAGAAATTTAGATTGAGAGAATGGAGTATAGATGTCAGGAATCATCTAATTCTATTTTAAAAGCAAAGGCAATAAAATAAAATAGAATTAACAAACTAAAAAGTAAGTAGACCTGCTACCGTGGTAGTGTATTCAAAAAATTAGGCAACGCTTCGTGATTAACTCACCACACAATCACTGCCTCATTGGTTTTGAAAAAAAAGTTTAATTGTTCTAGTCTTACAGGTGGAGCAGAGTTATATATTTCCAGTCGAGACCAGTCTATTCTTTGTGGTAGAACATCAAAGCATCTAGCATAAGCATAAAATGGAAAAAGAATAAATAAGCCGTGACGATGTTGATTCTTAAGTGTCACGGAGTTGAAGAAAAACTTTGTTTGCAGCCAATTAAGCTGAAACTACATGATACTTTCAAAAGATTTTTGAGAGATATTAAGTGTAAAAATGAAATATTAAATGCAATGGAGGGAGGGACAAAAAGCACCAGTGTTAACTGTTAAGAGGAAGGAAAATAGAGTGGCAACTTGAATTTTTTATTTTTTTTTAGCAATAATAGCAAATCACTGCATAAAATAGATTAAATACAAATGTTAGTCATCGCAAAGAGATCAGTAATCACACAACTAGCAATTAAGAAGGTACAATAATTTCAACAAAAAAAAAAAAAAAAGAAAAGAAAAAAGAAACAAAATATGCGGAGGATCAAAGATTATGGAATGATCATAGAAAGACGTTTGAAATGAGACATACATTGTAGAAGAAATAATTGGGTGTAGCATTAAACCATAATTTTGAAAGGTATATTCTTCTAGGAAGTTGAGTAGCTTCAACTGCTGTATGGCCTAAAAGATCTACTTCAGAATTGGCATTGCTTTGATCACACCCTTCAAGAAACAAAGAAATTTGACGGAAAATAAGTTGTTAGAACAATAATAGAAAATTTGATTGGTTGAGGAGTGCATATAATTCAGGAGGATTTTGACACGCTCAAAAGGTTAATGATGAGTAAATCTTTGGTGCTTTTGAAGAACTATCCTAGCCAAAAAAGACACCAAAGGAAGGTGAAATTAATGATGACTAAAAATTTTGGTACGATTGATGGTTAATAAACATATTCCAATACTTTTGTACAAGTTGGAAAAAAAAATAAAGAAATGAAAGAAAAAAAACGGGTTAATTATTGTTCAAACCAAGCTTGAGTGTGGAGAGAGATGCGATAGAGATGATAGACAACAATAAATCATTTTATCATTGTTTTCATGGTCCTTCAATTTGTTGAACAAAAGAAGACAAGAAAGGAAAAGTAAGGAAAAATTATTAAAGCTAAATTCGTAGCTTTTGTTTGGCTGGTGTAGAAAAATACGATGAAAATGAATAAGCATCTATCTATCTATATATTATATAAATAGAAGGGGATTTTTAGTGAGAAAAACTAATAGAGCTCTAATTACACAATCTAAATTTATTGATTTTTCAATTTAAAAAATAATTAATAAATCACGTACTAACACTTTTTTAAAAAAAATAAAGAATGCATTTTTTATTCCTAAAATCATTCCTCCCTTACCATCAAATAAGGAAGGAGTTTTCCAGTTAAGTAAAAATAATTAACAAATCATACACTAAAAAAAGGAGTTTTCCAATTAAAAAAAATTAATAAATCACACACTCAAAAATATTTCATCGTAAAATATTTACTATTAAAATATTTTAAATTCTTCACCTAAAGCTTAAAATAAGTTATATAATTAAAACTTTGTAACATGTTTTTTTTTTTTTTTTTCTCACCATGGCCATTACTACTCAACATATATATCAAATCTCATTATTTTCATATAAGGTTCAAACTCTCAACTCAATTTTTTTAAATATTTTAAATTTTTTTAAAAGTGGCATTATGTGTTGCATTTTAATTAGTTCATAATTAAATTCAAGAAGTTTTATATTAAACCCTTAAATTATACCACCATAATTACCATTGCAAATTACTTCTTTAATTTATGTTTACCATACCAAATTTATTTTCAAAATTATTTACCTAAGATTGCATTAATGCATGATTTTGATACATTCATACATATTCATATGGAAAATAATTAATTCTTTAACTTAAAATTTTATCATTATTAATTTTAACATGGTCTGGGCTTATCTCCAGTCCTCAATCGGACTGGAGATGTACTGTTGGGTCTTGTGGGTTTACTTTTGGGCCCCATTTTGATAATTTGAACCATTCATATTTTAAGATGGGATTTTTGGTGAAAAACCCCTTCCATGGGGCCTATTTTGTCTGAAGCCCACGGATGAAAACAATGGCCCCAAAAGCCCCTCAATTAAAAAAATAACATGAATTGACTGAAATGCCCATCCATATATAAGGGGGGAAATATGAAACAATTGCACCGTTTCTCTCCATTCCCTCTGTTTCATCGATTGAAAACCCTTATCTCCTCTGAATATCATCATTCGAAAACCCTAGCAACGATTGAAACCCTTATCTGAGTCTCATTACTCTCGCTCTCTAGAGCTACTTCGTTACAGTTTCGTCGATTGAAACCCTAGCAAGGTTACAGGTTCGTCGCTTGGTTCGTCGTTTGCGCTCGAATCAAACTCGGCATTACGCTTTACTCTCTCTTTTGGACACACATTTTAAAGGTGATTTTTTCCTCTTTCTACTAGTTTTTCGATATTATGAAGTCTGTGTGGGTTTGTTTTCATTTTGGGAGTGGTGTATGAGATTACTTTGGGTGAGTAAAATTTGGGATTTTTGGTTGGACTAAGGATCATCTGTTCTAAAACTTTTATCACTATCTTAAAATACTTTAAATTACTAAATCATGTGAGAATGTTAAGGTTTAAAAATTTTGAAAACTAATTTAAGTATTTCGGAATTACAGAGTAAAATTTTACTTTAACTCTAATATTTGCTCATTACGCTTTGATTTCTGTAGTGTTTTGGTCCTGCAATTTCAATGCTTTGAAATTCACTTGCTT